AGATTGCTAAATAGATGTATCTAAAACTACTATCTCTCTTTAGTCCCTTGTTTCTGGGTAGGCAAGTGGCCTTCCCATACCTCAGCCAGGCTTTGCTTCTGGCCTGCCTCTGTTTCCCCAGCCTGGAATGCCCCCTCCTTTCCTTCTTTATTCCTGATAGAGATTTAAAGAGGAGCAGCCCAGTGTGATAGGCCACACACCCACCGCAGAAAGAGAAGGAGCAATTTGGGGAACCAGCCCCTGTTTTGATAACCCCAATATGACTAAATAGGGTTAAGAAATGTCCTTGATCCTCTGAGGTGCCACTTGTCAGAGATGAGTCTGGGAGAAGAAGAGGAAAACGGGTAGAAAAAAAGGTTAGATAGATGGAGAGCTTTACATAACGTCACCTCCTTTATGCCAGTGACTGTTGTGAGCGCTAGTCCTCCCATTTTAGAGGGAGGAAACTGGGACGCAGACACCTGTACAAATGCTAAAGCCAGGATTTGAACACGGATTTTTCTGATGCCACAGGCTGTATTTCACCACAACCAGCTACTAAATAAGGGTTGGCTTGAATGTTTCTACTTTGATAGTTTCCAACAACTGAAATTTGTTTTCAGCAAGTACAGGGTTTGTCTCTCCAACTCCCAGCACCCAGGATCAACACAGGATTATTTCACACTTTAGCCTAATGTCTTAAGTAATGACTTTGAAAGATCCCAGGCAGAAAGTGGTAAAAATGACCTTGAGCAGTGTTGACCAGAACATAGCCCATCATTATTACATTATTGACATGGTGGATACCAGCCAAAGGAGACGGGGAGATGTTTGAGCACCCAGACAGACCTAAAGGTGTCAGTTTGATTAGTCTGGAATAGATCTTTGGAATTCTTAGTGTGTCATTCTAATGTGCAGCCAAGTTTGGGAACTATTATCCCAAGTGGCAGAATAGAGAATAGATGGAAATTATCAGAAAGTAGATTTATCTCAGATTGAGGAAAAGCTTTCTAATAACTAGAGCTGACCAACAGTAGAAGCTAACCAACTTTGAGAAGTGGTGAGCCTGTCATGCTTGGAAGCATTCAAACCTAGGTCTGATGACTATTGGGGTGAAAGGGACAAACTAGATAAACTCAAATGCTATGTTCAGTGGGATTTTGAACTCCCATTACCCCAAGATCCCTTCTAAGAGTTAGTAATTTTTTTTTTTTTTTTTTTCTTGCGTTATGCGGGCCTCTCACTGTTGTGGCCTCTCCCATTTGCGGAGCACAGGCTCCGGACGCGCAGGCTCAGCGGCCATGGCTCACGGGCCCAGCCGCTCCGCAGCATGTGGGATCCTCCCGAAATGGGGCACGAACCCGCGTCTCCTGCATCGGCAGGCGGACTCTCAAGCACTGCGCCACCAGGGAAGCCCCTAAGAGTTAGTAATTTTTAGCCATAGTCTTACTATGCTGTTTACATTTGGTAACATTAACGACATTCTCCCATGACTTTGCTCCTTCCTTGTGCTCCCTCCTTCTGGCTACACTGTGAGTAAAAGTTGGAAGGATTATGCCAAGTTCATTTTCTTCCTTCCCAATCCAGGAAAAAGGTCTTTGTATGGAGACTGCTTCTTGTTTCTAACTTCTGCTTCCCTTGGCTACCCTTCACTCAACATAGCAGTTCTGACCAAGGCTAGGTGGGCCTCAGTGGTGTGTTTAGGAAGCTGTAACATCAGGTGATTAATCATCCTTTCCTGAGTGGCCCTAAGAAACTCAGGGAGGATACATCATCATGCCCATCATCATGGCCCAAAGAGAAGAAGTTTGGGCCAAGGTGCTATAGTTGCATTTTTCATAGCTGTCCCGTATCCTTTCTCTTAGTCTCATCTGATAGAGAGGAAATCAAAGCACTGAGGTTATCCAAGAAACTACAGGGCGGAGAGTGCTCTCCCGCACTAAGAGGGTCCACAGGAAAGGCGACGGTGGTGGTCCTAAGGGCCTGGCTTTAGAGCCAGACACCTCAGTTTGAATCCTAGTTCTGACCCTCACCAAGTGACCTGTAAAACAGGGTTGTAGGACTATTACAAAAGAACAAAGGAAGTCACGTCAGTAAACCCATAGGATGGTTTCTGGCAGGTAAGAAATGCTTGGTAAATGTTTAGCTACTGTAACGATCATCATCATCATCGTTTTCATCTGTCACTGAACACCGAAATGTGATTATAATCTCTTGGGTAAAGGGCAACATGATTTGAGTAAAGTCTGACTGTTTAACTTGTTAGGTTCTTTGAGAGTTAAGACTGGATTTCCAACAAGGCTTGTAGCAGTTTAAACATCAGAGTTAAATTAAGCATGGCTGCTGTAGAATTATGGCCATTCCACATTTGCTCTTTTGTGCTCGTGACTTCACACTCCAAGAAGTGACAGTGCAGCCTCTTAACAAGGCAGTACAGGCTTTGCTTTCCCACACAGGAACTCTCTTGCTTCCTTTGCAACATCCGGAGCCATCCATGGAGGTGGGGGTGGGTGGCAGTGAGGCCTCTGGACCTCTCTTCTCTTTGGGAAAGTAGTAATGTGGGAGCTCCAACTTAGTCATGTGTCAAACTCATGATAATGTCCAGAGATATGTCTGCTGCCTTCTGATCTGCCAGGGCAGCCCCATGGGCCATGCCCTCCACTGTTTGCCCTTCATATCTGTGTGGTAGGATGACTGGAATAGAAGATGGCCTTTTAGTGGACATGGCCAGCCTGAATGTGCTGTAGTGCCATTTGGCCTGTATAGACCCTGCTGTTCAGCAGAGAGGGGCGATCATCAAGCAGAGCAGACAAGAGCACAGATGAGCTGGGCTGCCCTGTCCAGTCCTGGCTTAGCTTTTTGCACCTGTGTGATTTTGGGCATGTTGCCTTTCCCTTTTGGTGGAATGGAGGAGATAACACTACCTACCTCACAGGGCTGTTATGAGGATTAAATGAGTTAATGGGTATAAAACCTTGAAAACAGGTTTTGCTGAAGGGTTTGCTGTTATTACTATTGCCTCTGAGGGCATCTCAGGCTGTACCTGGACGTGGCTTGGCATTGGCCTCTGGTCTGGTGGCTGGGACTTTGTATGCTAGCACTGAGATGCGTAAGCCATAATGTAGTGTTCCTGGGCCAGCCCAGGCGTCATTGGGTTTGGAACAGGAGGCCTCTGGGGTGATTTAAGTTGCCTTGGGCTCAGAGTCTCCAGCAATTTGTCTCCCACTGCACCAATAGGGAGAGAACTTGTCTGAGGCTGTATGCTTTTTCCTCCGGGGAGCCTCAAATATCATTATGGGGGAGGCCAGCCTCCTCAGGAGCACCCTGGCTCCCCAGGATTGTAGGAAGCCCAGATCAGTGACCCAGCTTGGGGTGGGGGCTGGTGCCCCACAGCCCTAGGAGGCTGAGGCAGACAGTGGGCTCAAGGCAATTGAGGTGCCAGGAGCCTGAAATCAGAAAACAGAATGGATGGTTGGAGTCGTCCTGGTTTAGACCAATGGCAGCAAGGGAATTTGGGGAAATCCTCATTTCTGCAAATTTAAAACCCTGCATGACAAGCAGTGGTAGTGGTCATTGGCCAAGCTTTGCCCTTGGGAATCCTGGAGTTTTGAAGCTGGGAAGACCAGGGTCCCTTCTGGTCCCCCAGTCTGCTGATGAGGCTGGGAGTGCCAGGACCACCACCCTCATACCTTGAGGGCACAGCTATGACCTGGTCCAAGGGTCCTGATTCTACTCCTACCCTTTGTGGCCAGCAGCCTTACCTGTCCTGGACACTGCTGCTGAGAACAGGGATGTTGTGGAAACTTGTGCGCCTCCTTGGATGGATTTCTATCAGACCTTTTCCTGATAGGAGAAAAATGGGAATATCCATAGCCGGGGCAGATGAGAGCTTTCAAGAAGCAGACTGTCTGAGGGGGACTCCTGTTGTTTTTCCTTCTCCTGGTGTTAAATCTGGGAAAAGTTCTTGTAAATTTATGTTGGAAGCAAGATAAATGAAATGACTAGGGAGAGCTGCCTCTGCCTCTGAGGATGGGGGAGCTTGCTTTACTACGTGTATCGAGCCTCTGTTAATGTGTCAGGCAGTGTGCTAGGCTCCAGGGATGCAAGGGTGAACAAATAGTCATGGTTCTTCTTGCCCTTGGTGCTTATGATTTGGACCCTAATAAATATGTATTTCCAAATTGGGGATGGTGTTGTGAAGGGAAAAGTCTGAGTTTGCAGAAAAAACAGTGAAGCCTGATTGTTTTATTAGGGACAGTAGAGAAGGCCTCCGTGCAGAGAGGCCTGAAGGATTGGTAAGGGATCCGCAGATGAAGAGCAGGGTGAGGATCTGTGGGGCCTGCATGAACAGTCTTCTAGGCAGGGAAGGGCAAGTTGGGTGAGTTGGGGGACTGAACCAAGGCTGATCTGCACAAGGAGTGCAGAGGCACACAGTAAGATGGGGAGTGGGAGAGGCCTGGCTATATAGGTAGGGCCTTGGAAGGATTTAGGGTTTGGCGCCAATGGGAAGTCACTGAAAGGCTTTAAGCAGGGGAATAGTAGTCTGTCTGGGGATGGAAAATGGATGGAAGAGGTAAAAGTATTGTAGAATTGGGGATTTTATTAGTCCAGGCAAGAAGCTATGGCTGCTTGGCCTGTGCTGAGGGATAATAGGGTTGGCATGACTGGCCTTATGAGTGTGAGGACAAGAGATGAGGGCCAGTAGTGAACCCCAGCTCCAGGGATGTTGTCATAGGCATTTAAACTCAACCTTTCTGAAAAGAACTCTTCTTTTCCCTAATTGGCCTTTCCCCTTGTCTTTAACATTCTCCAGAAATAAAATTTCATTTTAATTTGTAGTTTAGTTTTTTTTTTTTAAAGACAAGTCCTGTCATAGAGTCTGGTTAAATGGTCTTTAATAATAACCTTCCGTACATAACAGATTTTATCCTTTTGAGGAGCTGAGTGATGTTCCATGATGTAGATGCATACCACAATTCATTTAACATATAGGTTGCTACTCTCATTTTCCTCTCTTTCAGGTTGACCAGTATCTCTACCACATGCGTCTTTCTGATGAGACCCTTCTGGAGATTGCTAAGCGGTTCCGCAAGGAGATGGAGAAAGGGCTTGGAGCTACCACCCACCCCACTGCTTCAGTAAAAATGCTGCCTACCTTTGTGCGGTCTACTCCAGATGGGACAGGTATTATACCCCTGGGGGAAGGCTCCGGGTGCTCCATTGCCTGGGAGAGATTTGGGTAACTTTGCTTAGGGACCCAAAGAACTATATACAACAGTGAAGGTTCTTTGGTTTCAAGCCTCAGAAGCCAACCCTTGTTAACTTAAGCATGCGGGGATTTGAATGGAAGTCCTGGCAGTCAAGGGTAAAGTAAAGTAAATCTTTGTCAGCCCTGCTGGGGTACTGCTGTCAGCCATTTGTTTCCCATCCATGTGCTGAGAAAGGCTGTTTGGCTCAGTTTGGGATTTTACAGCTTCACTGAGATTGCACACAATGAAAGTGATGAATAACAAACGTGCCTAATATGGTCACGGCCATAGGCCATGTCAGTCACTCTTGGGCCCATCTAACTGGCACGTTCCACAGACTTCTTGGAGAAACAGTGAGGTATAGATTGTTCTAGACTGTGTTTTGAACTCCATGAATAAACACTACTAGAAGTCCAAATAAACTTGGAAGAATGTGAAAGAGACATGGTACATATTAAGGTATTAAAGGCTCTGAAACTGTGCAATTAGAACCTGTCAAGCTTTGTGTTATCCCCTTACTTGGATACAGAGTCTATTTCATGATGCACCACCCAGCAAGTGACTTAATTAAACTGGAGAAAATGGACATGATGGAGACTGAAGTTGGAATGTGGGTTGGGGCTAGATTCAGAAGGCCTTGCATGCACACCTGAAACACTGAGTCTTTCTTCAGTAATAGGCATTGGGGAGTAACAAAGTTTTTGAGGGGTGTGAGCAGAACTGTATTGGTAATGCACATCATCAGCAGTTTATGCAGAGTGGGGGAGGGGGGTGGTGATGGGTGGTTGGTAGAGCATAGGGCATGGCCCTGGTGGAATGTAGTGGGCAGAGACCAGAGAGGATTCAAAGGTGATGCCAGGTTGTTGAGCCCAGCTGCCCAGGGGTGGCAACATCCTCAGAAAAGGGAACGGAACTAAGTTGTGCCAGCACTTTGACACAGTTTGTTTCATTTAATCCTCATGACAACCCTCCATTTTAGAGATGAGGTACCTCTGGGGCCACGAGGGGTGAAGGGTGTGGGATGGCTACCTATATATATAGGGTGAGAGAAAGAGCCCGGGGGCAGCTGCCAGGGTGATGGAGGAACCAGGAAGCACAGAGTCTGAGAACCGGAGGGAGGACAGAAGTCCAAAATGCTGGCTGGTTGCTGGTGAAGCCTCTGCATCTGCAGAGAAACCCTGGGGAGGGGTGGGGGGGGGCAAGGCACAGGACAGGGCTTGTTGGTTTGTACCACATGCCTTCAGTGTTTCCATCACGTCTGTGTCCCTGAGGCTTACTTGCTTGAGAGCCTTTGGGGACCTGTTCATCTAACAAGATTTTGTACCTTTCTACAATTTCTAAAATAAGTATGTGTTTGCTAAAGCCTTGGAACCCAACATTGAGGGTGTGACCTTGTTCAGGATTGTTCTGAGTGTGTGTGTCTCAGCCCTTCCAAGAGCTTCTTGAGGTGAGGGGCCTCCTCCAATTCTCAGATATCCCTCATGTGCCCTCTAGAATGGCACATTTACTATACCTACCACTCCCTCTGACTGGCAGCCACACCTGCTTTTACTGTTTTTATGACATTCTGATAAATTTACTAGCTCCTTAAGACCAGGGACCTTGTCTTTATTTCAGGCACTAGCACTAAGCAAGTATCCTAAATATTTTTGAAATATATATTATGGGCCAACAGCTTTTCTGAGCATCTACGTGTAGTAACTTATTTACTTTTCACAAAACCCTATAGGGTAGGTACAAATTTTAAGTACTTTTTTTTTTTTTTTAAAGATGAGGAGTTGGGAGCCTGGATGGTCAGATAACTTGCCTAAGGTCATATAGCTAATGAGAAGCTGAGTCAGGATTCAAACTCATATATGCCAAATGCCAGGCATCAAGACTGAGCTTGATACGTTATGTGTGTGTGTGCACGTGTGAGCCTGTACACTCAGCACCAGAGGACGCATATGCTCAGTGGAAATTTTTTGAAATGGGGTTGGGAGTGGATGTCTGGCCTGGATTATAGGCAGGTGAGTAAGTTTGTTGGGGAGAACTAGGTATGGGGCCAACTTTTTCTATTCTCGTTGTTTTCCTGAGATTGGAGCATGGAGACCTCCCACTGCCTCTTAGAGTTTGCATCCGTTGCTGTATTGTGTGGTCATTGAGTCTCTTTCCC